GGTACCGGCATATATTAAAAGTGGCATTTGGAGAGCACAAATATCTAAACCCTTCCAAAAGGCCACGATCTTAATTAAACCCTAGTCCTCTCTGCCTATCAACCCAAATCAATTTACTAAGTAACTACTATATACATGTGTGAAAAAGTGTGTTTACCTGTGTGAATGTGTTCATATATGTATACACATAGACAAGTATATATGGGCATAGGTATATTAACTGTTCTTTTAATTTTTTTATTACCAGTTGCTCGAGTCTATTACAAAACTGGAAACAACTTCCATTCTTGACCTATCAGGTTTTAGTGTACTACCCCACATCTCAACGTTTAAAAATAGTAAAAGCAAGATTACATGCCACACATCCACATACTCATTTCCCTTATACATAATTTATCTTCTCAAAACTTATATCTAAAATCTAGGTTTCATTAATTGAGCCAAATAAAGAAATTCATATCAGGAATTGTTAATATTAAAATATATATGATACTTTTTTTTACATCTTATTTTGAGAACATTGTAAACCATAAATAACAAGCAAAATCTCTTCTCTTGTCTCATGTATCTTAGTTTTCAATTTTGGAAAACTTACAGGATACGATGTATAAAATCTATTTCAAGACAGCTTGCTAGTAGCTTCTTGTAGTAGTAATACAATGTAATGTTCATGGCATAGACGCACTAAGCTAGCGCAAACTAAATATGATTTTCTTGTACAGGACAAAAAGTTATACTCGTTGGTAAAAGAAATAATCTACAGACACAAACTGTTTAGCCACAAATAAAAGAAAAGTATTATGGAGAGCACCGCCCACAGTGTCCACTCAGCGCTTCGGGTTTCAGCTCTATCCGGCCGCGCAGACTGAGGTGAAGGGCCGCCACTGACCCTCCCCTCATGTTGTGCTCGAAGGGGACGCACATACGGCAACTTAGATTGTTGAATGGATTTTGCGACTGAACTTGTTCTTAATGACAGTGTAGAAATTCCCCGTCTTTGTGCGGTCACCATGCAAATACATATATCAATATTCAATCATTTTTCACAATACTTTCGCATAACTCATTGTGACGATTCTGTTACCAATGGAGGCATCTCACCCTCTACTACACACATGCAGGAATTATGCCGCAGAACCCCCCAAACCCCCAAAGTCTCAGCCACGACATCAGAGGACGACGTGAAAGGCGCCGGGGAAATTGCACGGTAAAATGGGAATGAACCGACGGAGAATCAATCACTATTATCTATGTATGCGGTGGACTCCCCCCAACTTGCCCCCCAGAAGATCAAAGAATCATCCAAGTATTTGCCGAAGGAGAGAGGGAGCAGCGACGCCGAGTCTGTCCGACGGCGCTCTCCTGCCGCGAATACATGGGGGATTCTCCGTTTTCTCTGGGTTTGGGGGCAGCAGCATCTCCCTGCATTTGACGACAGAGCAACTGCTTCCGTAAATTACTCGTATTTTACCCCGCAATTTCCCTGGTGTTTTGTACGCCGTCCCCTGTTATCTGTAGGGGGTTTGGGGGGTTCTGCGCAGGAATTTCCAAACATACGGAAACGAGAAAGCGAGAGGAAGCCAACGGTACCAAAATCTTCTCAATCTGTCATGCTGAAATATTAGAAAAAAAAAAAAAAAAATTACGCATTATTTTCATCTAAAAGGACTATGTTATCTACGATTATATATATATTTTTTCTTCTTCTTTCTCTTCGTTTCTCTTGTAAACGATTTCCAGGAAGGGGTTAATATCCAAGAAAAATCAAAACACAGTAGATTTTAATAATAATAAAGTTATTACTGATTTTATTTTTCGATTTTCTCTCTCTCTCGTTCGTACAATAAATAAGGAATAAAGAATAGAAAAGGAAAATCAGGAAGAAGAGAATTCGATGACTGAAACAAAACCACACGATACTGCGCCCGAAAGATGGATATACAAATAAAATAAAACACAATAAAGTAGGAAATAGTAAAAAGACAAAAACCAAAACAAAGTGACATTTGAACCGAAAACTCAAAATAAACACAAATTAATCCAAAACAAAAGACATGAAACCACATCTACCTTCTTGAACTAACTCCCCGAAACCTCAGACCTCCATAAAACCCGACAAAACGGGGAATAAAGACGTAAAAACGGTGAATATTTACCTTTTTTAACAGATGATTCCTCTCTCCCGCTCAGCTGATTCTACCGCCATAACTTCGCGGGAAATTCTTGACGGATGACGTTCGAGATGCGCAATGTGCCTTATTTCGCTTATTTTGGCCTTTTTTCTCTCTTTTGGGGGCTTTATTTATTCGGCTTTATTTATCAGTTGGTGGTTTTGAGCGGTTGGTGGATAATGGGTGTGTTGGAGGAGTTTTTTTTCAACTAAATTGTTGAATACGCATTTGGAATTTCAATTTGTTTCAAGCTGTGGGACAAATCGCGAGATGATTTTCCATTAAAAATTAGTTTTTTTTTCTAGGCAAAGTTAGATGCGAATACTTACCTGACAAAGTACACCCGCCCTTTCTCTAGGAGGTATGAGGATCTTGTGTTAGACCGTGGCGTGTTTTCTGATGAAATAACGTCGGCTTTCTGACTTTTTTTTTCTCGTATTGTGACAGGAGGCGAACGCGTGACGTAGAAGCGATGGTGCCACATATCCTTTTAATTTTACTTAGATTATTAATTCTTGATTAATTCACCGTATGTTATTATTTTCGTTGTAATATTTTTCCTGATCGCTATGTTGTGAGTAATATGATCTCTCATAGAAAGATTATTCTTGAATGTGCAACAAAAAAATCTAGTTGGCACAATAGGCTTTTTTTTCTTCTTATCTCTAAAGAATTGTATAATAAAGTCGTTAAGCCGAGTCTCTCGCTCGTGTTCACTCCCAAATAAGCATTTTGCTGCCTAGTAACGGGTTCTTAAAATAAAAAAAAGAAAAGAAAGGAAATAACATAGAAATAGAAGTCATTATTCACTTTTATTTTGATTTAATTTACATGTTGCAAAATAATACGTGCAACTGAAAAAAGCAAGGACATAGCCTACTTGTCAACATTTCATTAATATCAAATCCATTCCTAGCTTATATGTACACACGGCGGCGCGCGCGCACATACATATATATATATATATATATATATATATATATATATATATATATATATGTGTGTGTGTGTGTGTGTGTGTTGTGTGTGTGTGTGTGTGTGATTGGTGTTTGTGTGTGTGTGTTGTGTGTGCATTGTGTGTATGTGTTGTGGTGTGTTATGTTTTATAATATAATTACTCTGTATATGCGTGTATATAAATTATATGTAATGTATATTATTTATATATATATCATGTGTGTATGTATACTACTAGTATATATATATATAAATAAATATATATGTATAAATATATTATAATATAAATAATATAATATATATATTTAAATATATGTAATAATATATATATGATATAGATTTATATACATAATATATATAAATAGATGTATATATATATGATATATAGTATATTATAATTATAATATAATATTAATATATACATACACCTAACCTAACCTAAAATTATCTGTATTAGCTATCAATATCTTTAACATCATTATGATATATAATATATATGATATATATATATATATAGATATATAATATTATATATATATATATATATATATATATATGTATATGCACACACATGCATATACATATATATAAATAATAATATATATATATATATATATATATTATAATATAGATATATAGGATAGAGAGATAGAGAGAGGAGGGAGAGAGAGAGGAGAGAGAGAGAGAGAGAGGAGAGAGAGAGAGAGAAGAGAGAGAGAGAGAGAGAGAGAGAAGAGAGAGAGATAGAGAAGGAGAGAGAGAGAGAGAGAGAGAGAGAGAGAGAGAGAAGAGAGAGAGAGAGAGAGAGAGGAGGAGAGAGAGAAAGAGGAGGGAAGAGAGAGAGAGAGAGAGAGAGATCATATTGCACATGCATATGCATATACATATATATGTATACATTAAATGCGCTACACACACACACACACACACG